CAAATTTTATTAGATATTTATTTATTGTGCTATTTATTTATTTGTCGTAATATTATACTGCGACATACTTGGAGAAGTTCGGGCACTCGGTCAGCTTGCAGTTTGAATAAGTGTTGGCGGAATAATAATTATCATTTACTAAAAAAAAAAAAATATACAACGGACGTTTTCCTTGGAATCAGCACCTATATAATAATAATAATAATAATGAGTCTTCCTGTATGACGCAAAACCCAATTTTTTAAATTTAAATGTGGTCGCTAATTTTAAATTGAACACAAAATCGAACATATTATTTAAATTCGAGGTCAATGTGATTTTGTATAAGAATTATTTGATGTTTAATTTTGTTTGTAATTGTAAAGTTGAATTACGTGTAAAAGTTAGGGGGCATCTGGTTTTAATTGGCTGTGATATTGTACAAGTTTATCTCCGGTCAGTGCGATAAGAGTTCGTTATCGCTGCGTAAAGCGAATTAAAGTTTAAGATAAGTAGATGTTTTTCGCCGAAGAATGTGTAGAGTAGTAGAGACAGAAAATGTGGAAGAGAAGGATAGTTTTAAATAGAATAGCGGACGTGAACCGTTGCGTTTAGGTCAAGCTTTTTGTTTGATTGGCGCACAAACCCAGAAATCATTAAGTAACCAACTATCCCTTAAAGTATAATCGCTATCCTTCGACTCTTAATCTAGGGGTATTGCTGCTAATTCCCAATATTTGATTGTAGGTTTTCTCAATGTCATAAAATTACCTCCTTGTAATTGCGCCGTCTCTTTCTCTAACTTAATCTAGTACCTAAATGAGATTGTGATACACATTGTGAGGTTGTACAAAAATCACTACTCCACTTCAGACCATTTGTCGATGCCAAACACAGTGACCAAAGAAATAATCTAATTAACAAATTGAAAGGCGCTTTATAAAATTGGCCGACTCTCAACGACTCATTTAGTCACAGATCCTCCCTTAATTAGAAAAAGTCCAAGCTCGTTTATGCAGGCGCACGAGTTTATTATTTTCATGTCGGTCTGAAAATTTCAATAAACAAACCAATTTTATTCGTACAAGTCGATTGGATGTTTTACATTATAGGGCGCCGACACCCCAACCTAATTAGTTCCGCAGGACAAAACCCTTGTGTAATAACTAAGTACTAAAGTAATTAGGGCTTGTCTTCTGTCTTAATTTTACCTTGTAATGGAAAGTCGAGTGTTCGCCCAAAGAAAATTAATTATTTATTCCCTATTTACTCGGCAGCGAATTTAATTATGCTATTATATATATACGTTGTATTTCAGTGGTACGTCAAATTTAGCTCACTAAAATGTCTTTAGGCCAATAAGAATTCATGCTACTACAAAAGTTTGCTTTTAGAGCGTAAATGGTTGTCATCCAAAAACTAACCGCTTACATATCTCTTAATTTAGAGTTGAAAAGAAAATTGCACAAACGTTTCAATTTAGGTAATCGAATGGTTTACCTCACTCATTTGTGGCATTTTCGTATTGTATCTTTTCAATCCTTCCATTCACTATTATATTAAGGTAGATTAATTAAATGATAAAAGCCGAAATTTGTATTTGGAAGTGACATAAAATACGATTAGGTCCTTGTGCTATTGTACCCCTATCGGCCCTCGAGCTTTTTAACTCGTCGCCCTCGAGAATATAAACATCATTTGTATGCCCTGAATACATAAATAACTATTAAACAGCGCGGACAAATAGATAGTTTTATAGTAAAATTCAGCTACTTACCTACCTATAAAATGTAAGTACCTAAATTAAAATTTGCTTATTAAAAAGTCCATATATTGTTGTTTGGGGGCGCCATGTAGTAAGTGATTGGGGCGTCATGCCAAATCAATTTTGCTTCTTTTTCTAGTGGATTGGATAAAGGTTCGGTAATGTTACAAAACTTCCTAATAAATTTGCGACAATTCTTTTAGAAAGGGTGATGTTTCTAATCACGAGTAATTTCATTCCGTGTAAACTACTGGGAACTGTATTCATTCGTCTTTGAAAACTGGATGGCCTGTAAAGCAAAAGGTAATCTGGTATAATGAAACGATTGACAGGTTTCAAACATTGCCATTTTATCTTGACTTCTACTTTCAACGACGGTGGTAACTGAATGTGTCAACTATCAATATGTAACGGCTTGTAACGATATTCTAGAATTAAAATAAACTTATGTTGGGAAAATTAAACTTAACCTACATGGTGCACTACATTACATTGCTAACGTTTGTAAAACGACTCCATGACCCACTTGCATATTTGCTCAAAAAAATAAGTCATTTTTACCTAGGATGGTAGCATACGTCGTCGTGGTGGACTGTAGAAAATCAAACAGATTTTAAAATCAATGTACATTACTTTAATTTAGTTGGTACCTGTACAACCTTACCCTGGTAGTGAATTACATGCTGTGTATTTTTACGGCTAGTTTCTACGCACCAAAATTAATAAGAGAAAGTGTTTTCCCGAGAAATTTTGGTGGTGCAGTCGAATTTTGGTAAAAGATTGGGCTACTAGTTCACAAGTTACAGCCCTTTTAATTTTTTTTCGAAATTGGTTTCTAGTTTATAACTTTTGATTGAGGAGTCTGATCGAAAAAGTA